TCAGTCCATCTATCTCACCTGCTTTTCCACTGCTAGCTGGTTACCTACTTTCTCTCTGGATGATCAACCTTTTATCGCCAGAAATATTAAGATGAGCAGATATTCTTGCTGCTCGTGATGGTGCTGGCTAGCTCCTTTCCTCATATATGAGGAAACTGATATTAACCTATTGATTCTTAAGAACTTGGGATGGTAAGGAAATCTATGTGTGTAGTAAACTTTACATTCATATTAGAAACATTAGTAAGTAATTGTGGTTTTAAACTTGGGCAGATTTCATTACAGCTTCAAAAGACTGGGTTTGGCTCAGCAAGTAGAACAACAGTGTTGCTTTTAGTATTGATAGTAGTATTATTTTTAAGTTCAAAATATACTGTTTCACTCAGAATCACCTCCCCAAGGTTCATCAGAAAGTGGTACCTTGGTGACTCCAGCTTAGGTGAATGAGAACTGTCACAGGACTATGGGTGTGGGAGGTGGAAGGAGCACTGCAGTATGCAGTCACGTTGGACTGAATGGTTAAGGATAGACCAAAACATTGCCAACTTTGCTGCCAAAGCCTGCATCCTATGATACTGCATTCTAAATCTGATTTAGAAATCACTCTTCCAACACTTTGTCTGCTTTTCATTAGTCGTATTCCAAATGCACATGCTCTGTGGACAGATACCAGTCAATTAGTGCTCCTTGTTCTAGGCAGCAGTTTTCCAATCCATTAACCAGCTAAAGTTGGAGCCCTATATGGGCTTTCTTCACAATGACATGTTTTTATATTCTTCTTGCTGTATTCTCTGTCCCCACTGTCCCTACACAGGTTTGTCAGGGTACGAACCTTTGTCCTGTGCATGTATAACATATCTTGTCTTGTGACTGTAAACAATTTGATGCAAGGACAGTCTTCACTGCACCATGTGAGTGCAGAGTGCACTTTTCAGCTTTATTAAACTACAGCAAATAAGCTGATTCTAACCTAATGCATTAAGAAGTATCCTAAAACCAGTTAGTTATTCTCCTGATGCTCTCTTGAACAGTCTGTATGTGTGAGATTGTTTCCTCTCTGTCCAGGAAAATGGCATGAAGCGTATACATGTGTGTGTGTGCACAATACTGTTTCTCTTACTGCAAAGTAGATTTTTATCTTTATTTGAGTGATCACTAGACTTTTTTATTTTTCCCATAGCATAATTTCTGTTTCTCACTTTCAATTTTCTTTCAAGTGATATTTTAATCTCATGATGTTGCTTGAAAGTTTTAAATGCATGACATGTCTGTTTGAAGACTGTCATGCTCCAGTGATATTTTAAATTCACAATGTCTTGCACATCTAATGACAGTTTCTTCCTGGACATATATAGAGTTCTTTGTTGATCTGCGTGCCTGTAGCATTCAAAATAAACTTTGAGGGTTTTTGTTTTTTAGACTGTGTTTTCCTGTTTCCATGTGGAAGGATCAGAGAACTGGAGTAAAACTACAATGCGACAGTCCTACTGCTTTGTTTACCATCTCTTGTAGATACTGCATGTTTCATATCGTAATATTAGATGTATATTAGACTAGAACAGGAGTTATTCTGAGAATAAAAGTCACTGAAAAAATTATATAAAGTCAAATTAGATCAATCTTTTTTATAAAATGTGTATGAATGAAGCTTTCAAATACACATTGCTGCTTGTACAGGCAAGCAACACAGTGCTCACCGCTGTACTGAGGTCAGGTCTCTAATATCAGCAGTGAGGGGGAATATTTAGTGTTATAAAGAAAGGAAGACAAGGACTGATAAAGCATAACTGATATTTCCATTTTTATTTTGTTTTACTTGAGCAGCATGCCTTGCTTGCTTGTGTCAGTTAATTTGCAGATTGAGCTCCATTTTGCTCAACATTTGTTTATACTTTTAATTTGCTCTCATGTAATTTTAAATCACATCTGTTTTATGTAGGTCAGTCTCAGACTTGCAGGTCACTTTGGCCTTAGAAAAATGTGTTCCTTAAAAATAGATGGGTAGGATTTTACTTCTGAAAGTCAAATGAATGCAACCTTTTCCTTTCAGGTCAGGATAACAGCAAAGTGCTGTCGTATATTTAAGTCAGCCTGGTAATGAGGTTGTCCATTTGACGCTTTGATCAGGACACATTAAGCTGTTGAAAAATTGTCAGTCTTACAGCCACACACTTGCTCTGATTTTTAAAGGTATATATAACTTGTTAACATCTGTTGACACACGTATTGGGTTTGTGTGGCAAGGTTTTGGTAGTGGTGGGGGCTACAGGGGGGGCTCCTGTGAGAAGCTGCTAGGAGCTTCCCCTGTGTCTGATACTGGCAATGCCAGCTGGATCCAAGACAAATCTGTCACAGATCAAGGCTGAGATAAATGACTGCAACCCCCTTTCCCTGTCCCCCTGTGCTGCTGGCAGGAAGGAGGTAGAGAATTCAGGAGTAAAGTTAAGCTCAGGAAGAAGGAAGGACAGGAGGGAAAGGTGTTTTAAGATTTAGTTTTTATTTTCTCATCTTACTCTGACTCGACTGATTATAAATTAATTTTCCCCGAGTTGAGTCTGTTTGGCCCTTGACAGTAATTGCTGAGGGATGATCCTGTCCTTATCTCGACCCATGAGCATCTTGTTATATTTTCTCTCTTCTGTCCAGCTGAGAAGGGTGAGTGGTGGAAGAAGGGTGAGCTTTGGTAGGCACCTGGCATCCAGCCAGGGTCAACCCACCACAACATTGGAAGGAGGAAACAAATGAATTCAAACCACTGAGCTGTAGCAACTCAGGGGAAGGTCCTTTGTTCAGAAGGTACTTAAGTTGTTTTCATATGTTTCAATATTATTATGTCCTTTGGCTCATAAACATCCTTTGGACATTGAACCCTTCTTCCTCATTACTTTTCTTCCTTTTGTACACAATTAACATAGGCTTCTTTGGTTGCAGGGCTATCTGAAATCGGTTTGTTTTTAATTGTTCCTTTATTTTATTGTCAGTAATTAATTTGGCTTAGGGCAAATGAAGCAGTGACACATGTAAAATATGAAGAATTATGTGCATTTTGCAAGGTTTTATATAAGAACATTTAATTTGTATAGTTGCAAGATGGATGTATTCTACTGAGTCGCATATTAAAGCATAATGGTTTGCAACCAAAAAAATTATTTAAATTTGAAGCTTAGGGGTAGCTATATTTTGAGACTTTACTGCAAAAAAAATGAACGTTGTGATTTAGCATAATAAATAAGTATCCATGCCTGAAGAGACTAATGTATGTGCTTAACTTTAGTCAGTGTAAAGAGCTGGCACACTCTGACTTAGTTAAGGCCTTGTACTGCATGCAGAAATACAGATTATGTAAAATTGTGGGAGCCCAATGCAGAGACAGAGTCCTTTTGCTTGGGGCATGAGTAAGCACTCTGCAAAAGCCTGCGCATGGTAGGAGGCAACATGGCAAAGCTGAGCTGGGCCTGTCCTGCCTGAAAGTGGGAGATGATCCATATTGAGCAGTGCTGCTCAGGGCCTCTTAGGGCCTTGGGTGTCAGTGAGGATCTGCTCATAGGAGGCAACATGGCAAAGCTGAGCTGGGCCTGTCCTGCCTGAAAGTGTAAGATGCTCCATGTTGGGGCGGTGCTGCTCAGGGCCTCTTGGGGCCTGGGAGTCAGTGAGGATTTGCTTACAGAGCTGTACTGGACCAGCTGGGCCTGTGGCAGTACCTCTGCATAGGACCACACTGTGCAGGCGGGTGTACCAGCAGGCAGGGATTGGTCTGCGGTCTTTCACCTGGTCACAGGAGAAGGGTGGGGGATTTTTTCCTTCCTTTACTAACATGAGGATTTTTTTTTTGTTAAGTTCTGGAAGGGTGTCTGTGTTGAAAAGGGTTTTGATGTTTTCCTGCGGCAAGGATTGTTGCATGTGGCAGTTTTTAATGGACACAGTTTTTTCTAATATTACTATTTCTGAAAGTAACTTTTTTTCTTTTTTATTGCCAGCCCTCTAGTCACTTGTCTGTGTATTTTTTTGTCCTGCTTCATCACTTTTCTTCTGCACTTCTGAGGTTATAGACAATATTGCCCCAAAGCTATTTCTTTTCATTTCTCTTCCTCTCTGTGCTTTTGCAGTTCTGCTAAACGTATTCTCGTCATTTCCTTTTGCCAATTTTTTGCTTGATGGCTGTCGTTATACTTACCTCATTATTATTAAATGATCTGTTACCTTTCTTTCCTTCCTTTCAAACTATCCAGCTGTTCAGAGTAAGCCAGAGGAGATTACCTTGGGTGTTTTCAGTAATGTCTTGCTACTCGTGAAAGCTGAAAAAGCATTCGGTATCTTTGTGGAGTTTAAATCCTTGTTTCTTCCAGAAGGTAGTGAGCAGTACTCTTTGTTTGGAGATGTAAATCTGAATTGCTATTTATTTTTGCCTAATTGGAAATAAGCTATTTGCAGAGATGATAATAAAGGAACTCACCTGGAACTATATCATCCTCTGCCATATAGTTAAAGAAATGGGACTGATTCTGAATAATTACTCTTCAGAGGGACTACAAAAGGGAAGTGATATTAAGATCAGTTTCATTATTTTGGTTTAGCAGCAGGTTTCTTACTGTATTGAGCATGTCCTTTCTTCACAGATCATGTTAGGAAAGAAAACAATGTACTGTGCAGTGAGATGGCAGGTCATAAGTGGGGTATTGGTGCAGTATGTTACAGCCTTTTCTCAGATGGTCCACAGACAGAACAATGTCTAGAATGAAAACTTGACAATGTTCATGGATTTTTCCACCATTTATAGCACTTACCATCCTCAGTTTCCTGATGAAAACTTCCATTGCTATAAAAATTTTGAGAAAATGCAACATTCCTTATTTCTTATGTTTGCTTTGTGATTGTAAATAATGAGTTCAATACAGGTGCAGCTATACAGAATGGAGAGGGAACTAAGTGTTTACTGGTTATATTTTTATTAAAGAAATAGGGTGCTGCAAGTGACTCAGTGTCATGGGGTTTTTTTCCAGGACTTCTGATGGTGGAAAGACAGTTGGTACCATTGAAGTCAATCTTGTGAAGATGGGAGAGCTAGAGGATGGGGAAGCAGACCACATCACAACAGACACCCAGGATCAAAAGGTAGAAACTCAATTGATTGCACAAAGTTAATCCAAATGGTCAGCTGCACCCGATGCCTAAGTTACTAATTCCAAGTTGGGTTAACTATGTACGCATCATTTTGCTAAACTAAAAGTACTTTTTCACGAAAACGTACTCTGTTCTCCGTTTCCTAGTTCCTCCCCTTCTTTAAGAAACAAGGAGCTGATTTTGACCTCAAGGGACCATATTTAATCGCTCCTGATCAAAAAACTCTCCATAGAGATGCCATAAATCTGATTTCTTTTTCCAGTTGGAGAGTTTTTTGATGACAAGTGATTTGGGCTTGAGGGAGATTCAGAAGTGGCTGCTCAAAATGAGAAAATCAGAGTTTGCATGGTTTGCAGTTAATAAAACGGTCTCTATAACTGGGTCCCCGATTGGTGGCAACTGACATAGCTGTGCAGAGTTGCCTCCTCCTGTTATCTCTGCCTCTGCAGCCCCATTCTCACTGACAGAACTTTTGCAGCCCTAAGACTATGGTGTACTGCTATACACTATGATGCATTCTGCTCTTCATAAAAAGAACTAACTTGAGGTAATGATACAGGGAATGTAAAATTAAGGACTGCAATTTATTTTTTGTTTGGAAGTAACATAAAATAATGTATTTTTGGAGAAGAAGGGCATTGTTCTAAGTATCTTTTCTGCTCAGCCAAAACAGTCTGGTTTTGGGCCGAATTCTTGAGGATAGATTTTACACCATTATTCTCTAAGGACCTCAACACCCTTTTAAAGCACTGGAACAGTAGGACCATCTCCAAAGAAGCCAACACTGTGAATTCTGTCTGGTTTTGTACTGCAAAACTTCCACAAGATATGCAACTGTTTTTTCAGCCTTCTTCATTTTGCTTTTCTTTTATTTCAAAATGTGGAATGAGACTTCTCACAATTATCTGAGATGTAATTAATGAGCTCTGTCTAGCTTGTGGTAGCCAGAAGACTTTTAATAGCATCTTTCTATGAGATTCTAATACTTTTCAAGAAAGACGAACCTTGTGGCATCTGTATTTTCTGTGGCTTTTAAAGGAGTCTGTAGTTTCCATGTATTAGTTATGTCATGGTGTTGCATCATGGAGTCTTAGTTTATATGTTCACAGTGAGGATGCAATTGTATTGCAAGTGTAGAGTTACTGGATTACTTCAAAGAAATAAGTTCTGAATTAATTTTGCTAACTCATTAAATTAACTATGTGCAGGGAATTCCTGGTGGAGCTGTAAGGTGACAGTTAAATTCAATCTGAGATATCATTTGGTAGAGAGTACATCATACCATATTCTATTGTAGATTGAGAGAGATTCTCCTTCTCCTCTGCTCTGCCCTGGTGAGACCACGTCTGGAATATTGTGTCCAGTTCTGGGCCCCTCAGTTCAAGAAGGACAGGGAGTTGCTTGAAAGAGTCCAGAGCGGAGCCACAAGGATGATTGAGGGAGTGGAGCATCTCCCTTATAAGGAGCGGCTGAGGGAGCTGGGTCTCTTTAGCTTGGAGAAGAGGAGACTGAGGGGTGACCTCATTCATGTTTATAAAGTTGTAAAGGGCGAGTGTCAGGAGGAAGGAGCCAGGCTACTTCTCTCTGATGTCCAGTGATAGGACAAGGGGCAGTGGGTGCAAGCTGGAGCATAGGAGGTTCAACCTGAACATAAGAAAAAACTTTTTTACTGTGGGGGTGACAGAGCACTGGAACAGGCTGCCCAGAGAGGTTGTGGAGTCTCCTTCTCTGGAGACATTCAAAACCCACCTGGACGTCTTCCTGTGTGACCTAGTCTAGGCGATCCTGCTCTGGCAGGAGGGTTGGACTGGATGATCTTTCGAGGTCCCTTCCAACTCCTAATGTTCTGTGATTCTGTGGTATCTTGCTCTTTGCTTTGATCTCTGCAGCAGAACACCTAGAAACTGGGGAAGCCTTGGAAACAGAGCTCCCTTTCACTGTTAGAGCCTATCTGTTATGTTGGTTTTTCTTCTGTCTGAGGGGACAAGGACGATCAAAAATATATATATATCCTAGTACATTTAACATAGTTTTACATGGGTTGATTTTTCCACAAACTTTTTATACTTTTATATGCTAATCTTATAAAAGAAATATTTCAATTCACTTATATAACAAATTACTTTAATCACAAGCCATGAGCACATTTTAAAGACTTTTTGTGGTTCACAGTCTTCCTTTGTTTAAAAATTCATGGAGTGCTTTCTGACACTGTGCATGTGAAAACTGCCTTGTCAAAAGAAACCTCCCTGAAAGCACAGAACTTGTAAAAAATTATATTAACCTCTGACATTGTATTGATAGGAAGCCTTTCTGTTTTATTATGGATTAGCTGGTCATATTTTGCCATTTTCTCTGCTGTAATTCTGATTGTGTTACAGTATATTGGAACAGAAATATAAAGGGAAAAAAGTAAATTATAATTAAGGTTGGGAAGTTGTATTATCAGTGATGTTTCTTGGTCTGCCCTTTATAAAGTTCTATGAATTTCCTTGTAGTACCTGAATGTGTTACATTTGTGGTTGCATTTCTGTTGTAGTGTGCATTGGTTCGTGAATGTACAGCCACTGAAGGCACAAGTGGTAAAGACAACTTGCCTTCATTAAATGCAGGTAAGTATTTTAACATACATAAAAAGTGACTGTTGCATCGCTACATCAGATCCTCAAGAAGATCACAAAGATCTGGGGCAGAGCTCTTAAAAAGCTCTTCACATGATGCAGAGATTTTTTAAGTTCAATATTTTAATGTTTTCATTGTGTTTGACAGTATCATTTTACTGAGAAACATGGTGAAAACTTCCAGAAATCTATGTCAATTATGCTTTCTGAAAGGCTGCTAAAATCTCCCACTCCTACATTATTACTGTTCAATGATTTTCAAGGCTGTCAGTGACTTCACTGGGCATGGAATTAACCTCATAAGTTTTTGTCATGTCATTGCATGACATTCTGTTAAAGTAATTATACATTATTTGCAACTGAATATGCTGGAGAATTGATCTCTCTCTTGGCTGATGAAGTGGAAGTTTCAGTTTGATCTGCAGGCTCTACGTTCTAAAATGAAGGATGCTGTTGGCAAGGCATTCTCCCTTCTAGGTCAACTCTGGGCTTGAGTGTACGGTGTTGAACTAGATTCATTTCTCTTTCATTATACTGAGAAATATTGCATGCTGATATGCTGCACCATAGAAATTTTATTAGCCCAAGTTTATGAATCTCCATTACTCTGCAGTAACAGTGTCAAAAATAAGTTATATGGGTCATCTGTGAAACCACAGCACTGTCGAGAATCCTATGTATCTGCTGCATACAGTTGAAAAGAAATGTTACCGAAGTTTTAAAACCTTTAGTGAAACTTTTTCATATAACTTCACTGATAGGATAGAAGACCTATTAGACTAGCTTTGCAGGCTGAAGGAAGCACTAGAAACCTCAAATTTATTTTTTTTCCATGAATGCTGTAATTTTTTTCTGTGATTTGTTGAGACTAGATCAGAAGCAGGGAAAAATTTCTTCTTCAGAAGTGCCATTTCTTTTCATCGGCTCAATGTGAGACTAGATATGATTGTGGAAAAGATATTCACTGAGAATTACTAAATGCAAAGGAACTACATCTGTCTCTGGAAATTCCTGAATTTAAAATAGTTGGAGGCAGGGAGAGTATCTTGCATCTCTAGGTAACTATTTATGGCTCTTCTTGGAGACAAGATGCAGAGCCAGTTGAACGATATGGTCAAACTTAGTGCAGCCTATCTTTGATTCTGATTCTGTATGTCATCCAGATAAGTGGGTCTTAAATGACATTTCTGTTCAGAGAAAACGTTACTGATTGGCAACTGATTTTTTTTTTTCAGTTTGCTGCCTCTGTTGGGTAGGTTTGACTGGAGATTTTATTGGGGTTTTTTTGGATGGGAAAATGCTGTAGTTTGGGGAATGCATTTTGTTGGGACCGTTGGAACTTCCAAGATAGCTGACAGTTTTATCTAGATGTCAGTATATCTAGACATTGCTTAATATTTCTACATTTATTGCTCTTCTTATATACAAATACACAACATAAAACCAAAACCCCCAGCCCACCCAATGTTGCTAGGGTTTACAAATTCAAACATACCATGTCGTTTTTTGGTTTGTTTTATTTTTTCATTTTTGGGTTTGTTTGTTTTTTAAGAGTTAAGGGGAAAGAGCAGAACTGCAGATGCAAATGACAGCACGCAGGTTATTGGGAAGTGTTCTCAGTACAGGAAGTTTGTTCTAATAACTACTTATTCTTCAGTCTGTTTCCTGTACTTATGACTTCCTCTTCTTACCCCAGAATTGCCTTCACTTCCCTTCTGACATCTGGCACCAGTTCCAGGTTTTGTTAGTCCCAGTCTTTCTACTGAATTCCCAATTTATTTTCCACAAATTTCAGCTCTCATATTATATTCCCAGCCTTTTTGCCCAACCAGTCGAACTTCTTCCCCAGCAGGCCTCCATGGCTGAGAGTATTCATGTAGATCAGAGCTCTCTGTGTTGCCTGAAGGCTGACTGTCTCGTGTGGGTACCAACTGGCTGCCCTGAAGCATGTTGTACCACAGGCAAGCTTTGCCCAGAAACATATCCATCCACTCTTTACAAATGACACACACACAGTTTTGTTGGTATTAGAAGCTTGGAAGGATGCAAGAATTTTCAATAATGGTAGACTCTTCATGCATGCATGAGGTGTTCAGTTCAAGTTTTGAGTTTTTACATACCGGTATTTCTTTCCCAAGACTTAGGTCATTGTCAGATCTGGATGAATTGCCATTCATATGGTAAAATGCACATCTCTGTAGAAGGTTTGGTGTCAGAATTCAAGTTCACAAAGCACAGAACTTTCTAGTTCAGATGTCATAATTCTGACATCAAATAACATCCTTTATTTCTGGCCTTCCCCTGTGCAGCTGGACCATTTCAACTGAATTTATTTTTTTTAAAAAAAAGGTTACTAGTCAGTTTAAATTTAATAATCAGACAGATTTCAGTGTGGCAAAATTAGAGGCAATTAAAAAACAAAGACTGAAGGGAAAGGAACAATATTAATAATGTGGTATAAGTTGAAGTTATCAGGTTGCCTATACATTGCCTGCACTACTTTCCCTGCCGTGTGTACGTACAGAGCTATCTACAGTATATATTCTGTGTCCATATGTGTTTAGTACATGTGTACGCTGTTATAAAGATCTCTGTTTTTTTCTCTCATGTTGTTTATCAGGCCTTCAAAACTATGAAACTGAAAAAATACCCCTATGTGAATCTTTAAGCCTGTAGGCATAGATGCACGTTGGCATTCTTCTGCAATTTAAATCTTAATGTAAGGAGCTCGCAGCCCTCAAGTGAGTTGTGAGGGCTCACAAATGAGAGTGAGTGGGAATGAGTATCATCTTTCACAGAGGCCTATCACTATTCCAGTTATACCCCAAGAGATTGAATTTGTATGTCTCAAAATTCAGTTATTTATTTATAACACTGGAGAGTTTGCCAATTGTTTGCATGTAAACGTATTGCACTTTACAGTAAAAAAAGAGAATGAAATTAATTGAAATTAAGCAAAAATTAAGAGAGCTGAAATTATTATTCTTGAGATGATATATGTAATATACCTATGCTATAAAGGAAGATATAAATAGAAACACTGTTAGTAAATTAGTATATGGTAGCAATATGCTTTGATCTATGTTCAGTAGCTGACAAAAATGAAAACAGTATTCAATCTTTTATTGTTTTTTATTTTACTTGCAGGGGAAGCAATCTGAAGGATGTTGCTGAAATAAAAAGCACAGAAGTCTTTAAATTTAAAAATGAGAATGTCCAAAAATATGAATGGTTAAATATATGGCATTGGCTTTTAGACTTCGTGCTATAGAGAAATACTTTTAAAATATTTTTTCCTCTTGTTAACTACTGCTGTTCATCTGGAATTTTTTTTTGTGATCACTGTCTAAATACACAAAGGATTAGCTTTATCAAACTTTCGCTCATTTTATTAGCTACTTTTTATAAAAGCCGAATCTAGTCTTGCCATTTTTGCTGTTTGGGTGGTTTTACATGCCTTCTGGCTTTCTTTTTTAAACAACCGGTGTAATAAGAGAAAGTGATTCTTGCTGTAATTGGAAAGAAAAATACATCTGTGATTTTTATGGACTTACATGACTTCAGTATTTCTGGCTATAGGAAAACAAATATTCTGTGGCTCTTATTGACAATTTCAAGTTTTAGCAAAACTGCAAATGGGAATTATTTGGATTCCTTGTGAGAACAAAATTCCCAGTTTTTTTCTGAGTTTGTAAATGAAGTTTTCTTCAGAAACCCATGGACAGATGTTTTGGCCATTTTTTAAAACTTACAATGCACTTGAGATTATCCCCATCTGAAAATTCAGACTTGAAGGTAGCACCTGAAGAGCAGTTTAATAATTCTAACAATGATAAAAGTCACAACTTTGGATCCGCATTTTCAAAGTGATTCCTTGTCTCCCTTGAGAGGGAGACTGCTGCACTCATGTTGCGCTTTTTGTGTTTGGTTTTGTTTTATTTTCCCTGTGGTGCTGATGATGATCGTGGGAAGATGAGAGGAAAGAGATTGTGGAGCTATGTATATACATTAGGTTCTCACAGACAAATAGGAATTTTTAAATGTAATAGACTCTGAGTGCAAGTTTAAAGGTTGTTCTTGGGAAAACATTCTTTGGAAACTTCTTAGGAAGGAGGTACAAAAAGGTAAAATAGAGAAGAGAGCCTTTCGTGTCTGGGCCATCATCATTTGAAATGTCCCGGTAAAAAGTATCAACCTGCTTCCTAATGAACGGGTGGCACTCCAAAAAGAAACCCACTGAAACTTATAATTCATTTTGGCTGGTTTCTGTTTAGGACAGGCCTAAATTAGCCAAGCCTCTTTAGTGCTCTACCTGATATCTGAAGCTTGTCCTTTCCTGTCTTGCTAATGGAAGATGATCAGTACCATGTATCTACTTAATGGATTGACAGAGGCTGTCGACATTGTTTACAAAAAGGACTTAATTAATTAGAGGAATCTCAGCAAAAGAGGAGGAAAATAGGAAAGCATTACAGTATATTTTAATCAAGTAATATAGTAAAGCCCAGATACTGGGTATAAGCTGATCACAGGCACAGAACTTGGAGATGTTTTTTGTAGTGGACAGTAGTTAAGTCTGTGGTGAGGATTCTCAAGCTGTAAAATGTGTGTAAAGATGCTTGAACATCGAGGTATTTTGGGTGTTAGCAGTATACAGAAATTGCTGTTATTCATATGCTATAGCTATCCATCATCCATTAGGCTAATTTCATAACAGTAAGTTAGAATTTAGTTTTTGTAAGTGAAATCACTTATAATAAAGTCAAAATAAAGGCAAAATTGGAAAAACTTACAGTTTCTCATAGAGATCAGTGATTAAAATGTCAGTAGAGTGATGGGAATAGAAAACAATACATCTGCAATCACTTAAACATGATTATTTACAATATTCCTTTCTTTGAGTTGCCGACAACCATTTTATTTCTGATACCTTTGAATCTGTGGTCTTGTTCTAGTCATTTCCTAAAGGACTTCTGTTAAAAAAGAGCTTTATTAGATAGACAAGAGGGTTTCTGTACCTTCGATAACTTGGTCTGTCCATTTCATTCTCTGTAAATCAGTCTACGTAGGCAATAATGGTAGCAGCGAGTTGTGAAGCTGAAATTTCTATTAGTAGATGTCATTTTGACAGCAACGGTTTCCTTGCACCGCACATGTGAAATACATTCCTGTGAGTTATAGACCATTCAGTGACAGATCAATGGGAGCCTGCTCTAAGGCAGCTTTTTCCAGAAGGCTGATAGAAAGGTGCTGTTGGAGGATTTGGAGGACTGTCTAAAGTCTTTGAGTTAGGAAGCAGTGGATCTGTGTGTGTGTGTGTGTGTTAAATGATGATCACTTGTCTCCCAGTAAGCTTATCAATGTAGTCAAACAAAACTTTTCTTTCTCAGCTTGTTTCCCATTTGTTCTTTCTGGAAAATCACTTAAGAGTAGGGGAAGGAAAACAAAAAAAGAAAGGAGAGAGTAGAAATTTTGCAGCTTTATGATAAAGCATCATTGTAAGATCTGAATGGAAACTTAGCCTACATGTGAGAGCTTTAAGGTAATGCAACATGGTGGGTTTTAAGCATGCCCTTCCAAGACATTGAGAAACTTGATTTTCCTATGTCAAGTTACAATAGTGATCTGGGAACAGTGTATGTAACATGTACAGGGTTGTTATATTTATTTCTGTGTAGTGGCAGTCTCTTGACCATGTCAATAATGAAGCTGACTTCAAAATTACTCTAAAACAGCATCCTCTTGACCATGTCAACTGTTTTTAATGTAGATGCACACCATCTATTTGTGCTAATGACTTCTCTGTGTGCCTGTCATGGAGATGATGCATCAGATACAGCTTAATGCTGAAGCATGCTTCCTTTTTCCCATGCAATTTCTTAGCAATGTAAGGGATTTTAGCAGATTCTAAGTGGTGGTGTTGACTACATGTGAGTTTATTGTTGATTTGTGCATTCTGTTTTTCTTAATTGTATCTTAAAAGTAAGGATTAAAAGCAAAATTTACATTCTCACTACACTGAAATGCTAAATTCACAGGATACTTACTGTGCAGGTAAAATGTAATTTATATACCACATTAGTAATACCTTGTCCTCCACACGCTGCTATAATAAATTAAATAAAAGATAATGTTTTTAATAGAATTTTAATGGTTCTAAAATTAATTCTGGAAGCAATGGGGGATAATAATGTATCATTTTTAGATGAAATTGCTGTCATAAATTTTCAGAGAGTCATATAAACACAGTAAAGCAATAATATAATTTTTCCTCTCTCACAGTGTTAAAAAACCCAATCTGTAAGTTATATAGATTCCCTACTTCTGACAACAAGTGGATGCGGATCCGGGAACAGATGGCTGAGACAACCCTCTCTTTCCATGTTCCTAAAGAGCTGATCAATCTGCACATAAAGGAGGATATGAGAAGGTAAGAAAGAAGAAGCAGCAATAGTAAATATTAGATTTTATTTTTCTGAGTGCTGAGCTAAAAATACTAATTTGTAGTATGAAATAGGCAAAATATAGTGGTTTTGGGTTTTTGGCTTCTAAGAATTTACAGCTGTAATTGAACAACAGGATTGATTGCTCAGAACTTCAGTAATTTCTGAGCAATGAATTGTACTAGAGTGCAATCGTGACATGAAACATGTAAGCATTAGCATTTGGTTAACAATAGAAATGCTTTGGAAAGTTAACTTTGTATAGAGAAACAACGTATGTGAACGACATTGTAGCATGTTTGGCTTTGTGTTTGGGCAGTGCTAATATCATAGACAAACTATGCAAGCAATGGCAAATGACATATTTGTAGTTAATAAAGGAGCAATAAGAGTATAAATCACATTCCTTGTTTGGCCTTGTAACCTGAAAAGGGAAAAGAGAAGAATAGGGACCAGTAGTGTCCCAAAATCCTTTGTATGTCCAAATTCCCACAGCAGGGATGAAAATGGCAGCCTGCCCTTGAATACCTGTAAGTTGTGCTGGTACTACTGGGGAAAAAGACGATGTTTCAAGCAGTCCAGGACTTCTCTAAAAGCATACCTTATTTTTCCATTGATAAAGGACAGTGTGGAAGAAGATAATGCCTCTTTCCCCACAAAACTTGCCTCATGCATAGGTGAGCATCTGGTCTCATGTTTAAGAGCAGCACTGTGAGCTAGTGCTGCATTCCAAAGCCATCCTGTGCACTTTCAGGCACTCTTTAGCAGTCCATCAGAGGGGTTTGCCTGTGGTTGTTTACACTGGTTTTGTCCTGCAGTAGAAGCTTCTTTTCTCTTTTATTCACCTCATCTGCTGCTTCTGTGTGATCTTTTTATGACAATAGAACAGCATGTGAGAGACCAGAACCGTGCTTTTAATAAAGTCAGTGGACTGATACATACTTATGCAGGGTGATGATGAGTTATAAAAATTGTATGAATTGTTATACTACTTTATTTTATTCATTTAATACTGTGTTTAGGCATTTATGGCCTGATCTTGTTTGAGAATACTAATGTGTAAGGTTTTTTTAGTAAGCAATAAAAATAGATTATGCTGACTTGCACAGTTCATCCACTTGCAAATTTTCATTTGCCCCAGGGTAAATGCCTTTTAAATGTTAAGGGATTACTTTAACCACTTCTACTACTGTCCTCTCCAAAGGCATAATGCAAGTAATACTGCTTGCTGTTATTTCATATTATAGCATTCACCTCCTTGAATAAAGTCATAGTAAAGAATCACCATAGTTTGTTCTTTTAATGATTATTCAATACTCAGAAAATAAAGAAAACCTTTCAGGAAGAAACATAAGTAAAAGTTGCTCAAAGACTGAGATACATGGTTCTGATTTTCCTTACTGCCTACGTAAGAGGGAGAAGGTAAAACCAACCAAGAGGAGCAACAACTTCTGGTTGTTGGATGGTGGGAACAGGGGCATCTCTGTCATTGTAGAAGTGTGTAAGTTGGAGCTTCAGCTTTGTACAGCTTTTGCTTTTTGAAACTATTTCAAAGATGCATGCTCTTGTGGACTCCTTGCATTTGTGAAGTAGTAAAACAATGCTAGGAGGATATTGTTGTGTTAGTTCTTGAACACATAAAAAGCTTGCACTGTACCATCTTGCAGATATTCTTCTCTGAAGTATTTTTATCTGCATCCTTTTTCCCCAGTTTAGTATAAAAGAATAAATATTTTTTTTCTCAGAGGCCACTTCTTATCATCCTCAGCTTGTTTAATTTTGTTCCTGTTGTGGCTTCAGTATAATCAGGTCTGAAGCAATTACCTGTAAGAAAAATATCCAAGTGAAGTGTTAATCCTATTCAGTATTGTATTTTCAATTGTAATTTAAATTCTTCTTTCTCATAGCTCTTAAGATTAGTTATCTCTTGATAAAACTGCAGTGTTCATTGTTAACCAAACTTTTTCATTTACTGACTTGATACTCTGAAATACGTAACCTCTAAGGATGTTTAACTTTGTTTTTCAGTATGTAATAATGTTTTTAAAGATATGCACATGTTAAAGATTTTATCCTTCAAACTTTCTTGGAAGAAATTGTAATGAGAAGCTATACAGTAATTTTTACTGTTCTGAAAAAGGGTCATACAATCTGCTTTGCTGGTATTTATTAAGAAATTATTTCTGTTTCCTCCTAGAGGTTTTCTAATGAGACCTTTCCCCTGTTTTTAATATTTCTTTGCAAAAATTTTTTCCAGATATCTTGCATCTATCATGCAAGATTAGCATGACAGCTGCAAAATATATGATTATATGTTTTATAATTGATGATGCAAAATTTATGTTTATTATATTTATTATAATAATTTATTCTTATTTATGATATTATTTATAAGATTTAGTAGTTTACAATAATTGTTCACAAAGGTAGTTAACCCATATAATCTAAGCTTGTAGTTGCAGATTTAACTTGTGTTGCACTAGGGCAGCACAGCAAGAGGATGAGGAGACTGTAGTGGAACCTGCTGTACACATGTCTTTCAGATTTGCCACTAAAGCTCTTTCAAGTCCCTTGAGACCAAACTCAGCTTTGGCTAAAAGGAAATTTCACCTACTTGTGGTTTAATTTGGCCCATGGCATTTCTGGTCACAACCTATAAACAAATTTCAAGGATAAATTGCTGAACTTTCCTTGAACCTCCTTTCCAGAGAACAAAGCAGACTCAATCTTTCCACCTGCATTAGGGATGGCTGCCCTGTCCCAGCTCCAGTGGCCTTTTCTTGTGCAGATCTATGCTGCTTGTGTGTTTTCTGATTTCTTTCTTGTAACATTACAGCATGAGAACAAAGTTTAAACTGTCTGAAAGATGTATGTTTTTCCACTACCTCTTCAAACAGAACTTTTGTAGAGAAGTGGAGATGCAGGCAGAAATGCCATGTGTTGGGAGTCAGCATTGATTTTTCTGGACCTTTGCATGTTATTTTCTTACATAACTTATTTTTGAGCAATTGCAATGCAAAAACATTGTATTGATAGAGCTAATGGCATGAAAAACCCCATTATTCTGAGTAAACTTACAATGGATTTGGGAGCTGTTTGAACTGACCACATTTAGATGGGCACTGTTACTGTGCTGTCCACTTAAGGACTTTTAAAACTTTACTTCAAGTAACTGCCTAGCACAAATTTTCACCGGAATAATTTTTCCAACACTTAAAAACTCAGCAAGCATGTCAGTATAATGTAGCTCAAATACATCCACATTCAGTATTCACTCCATTGTGCATCAAAAACGTTGCAAAACTCTTCTTATTCTGTATGAGTTACTGCATGGAGGAATACAAGTGTATGAATGTAAGTGTAACTCAGTTTTTTGGTGAGTGGTGTTTAGACAATTGCTCTCCTCAAACATGATCAGTTTAAATACAGTGAATTTATAAAGTAAAGGATAAAATACATTTTAATGTATGAACACTATATGATTCTCTGTACTCTTGATTTCACTGTTCATAACTAATTGTAGAAAAGATGGCCTTTGTGAAAGTCTAAGAGGAGTTTTCATGTCAGACAGTGAAGTAAAGTTTGCTAGGCTTTATTTTGCTAGGCTTTAATTTGCAGTACGTTGGAATGGGGTAACTTTACCTGATTTGTTTTGTGATGGTTACCTCTACATAACATTACCTATTCATCAACAGTCCTGCAAGCTATAAAATGTTAAGTTACATACTGACTGTGTTGTCAGAGAGGGGGTTTTGTTGTTGTTTCCTGCAAAATGCACCCAGATTTTAAAACTACAGAAAATCATTCCATACCAGTCCACAATGCTTTTCAGAGACTGGCTGCTAAAATTTCCAGAAGTTGTATTTGTGCATAGCATGCCATGGTCTCAGAGAAGTCCATATTGAGCAAATGATATAACCTGTAGATTTCTTAGAGCCTCCCGTGTTACAGTGAAGAACAATACAAAACCAAAGCAAGTAACAGTCTTTTCCTCAAGATTATAATTATTTTAACGATCTCAAATTCTGTTATCACAAAAGGCATTTGACTTTTTATATAGTTAACTGCAGATTTTGCTCTTACCAGAGCCTGTCTGTGGTTCTAATAGCACCAAGTTGGGTGTAATTTTGCCAGCTCGTGTCAGCAGGGATACAGAGAATATAAATTAGTGGAGTTAAGGCATTAAGGTGATTTAAAAGAGCTTTATACCATTCTGATACTTTGCTTGTGTCATAAAGATCCTCACTGTTTATTGTGAATGAGGCACTCTGATTAATAAATTGGGGAAAAAAAAAGAAACCCACAAAACTTTTAAATGCATTAGTAATCATGCAATAGTAATGCGATTAATGTTGCTACATATGTGATTCCAAGGTGAAAGAAAGAAAGAAAGTTCTAAGTAAAAAAACTAAGAGTAAAACATCTTTGCTTGTATCACAGAACGGAAGCAACATTGTCTTAAGTTGATTCCAGTGTTTCCTGATGAAACAGTGAAATTTAAAAACCATCTGAATTAAAAAGACACCTAAACCAATTCTATAAATCATTGCTAGTTACTAAAACATAATTTAGGATTAAAGTGTAAATGCCACAGATGCCATTCAGAGTGTTACTGAATTTGAGACTCTCTGCAATCATGTGATGCAGAAGAATTATCTTTTGCTATTCAATGTGAACCATAGAATTAACCTCAAATGATCATGCTGTTTGAAGATTTTGAGACTTTCAGAGGTAAAGCCAGGTAATGAAATATCCAAAGACAGGAAGAAGTTTAAGGTAGGAAAGAAGAATTGGATTTAATTTACCTTATATATTGTCTACTCTTTTGGATGATATAAAGGTGATGGTGCTAAATAGAAATGGAAAATGAACTTAAGAACTCCAGATCTCAGGAACAGTACAAAATATTCTCAAGCCTTTACAAATCTTAGTCTATTCTTCACATATACATGGAGGAAACATGTTTTAAAATATTTTTAATGTGGTTGGTTGGTTTTGGGGGGCTTTTTTGTTGCCTTGTTGCTTTGTGGTTTTGTTTTTTAAACAAATGTTAAAGGAATGCAAAAGATAATAATCTCTTTTTTAGTTTTTCGTTACCTGTCAGGTTGGGCGTACCAGAAACTGAAAAAACTTTGGGAAGTTTTCTAAGACAAGAAAAACATCTGTTTGCAAGAGGTTCTTAATGAAAACTACTAGGAAAGAAAGAAAAATATTCTTTTAATTATTTTAGTGGTAGCTTCCCCAGAATGGATTAAATCCTCCTTGATGATTATTTGTTTGTTTCAGAAACAATGTAGTAAAAGGCTATGATTCCTTTATTTCAGAGAGAACCTTATATTGTTCTGATGGGTTATTGCCTGTGTATCACAGTACCATAACTTGTAATAAATGAGAATAATTTTATCTGCTTCTGTTCTACAAAAAAAAAAAAGGAATTGTTACCCATAAACATGTACACTTTAAAGTAAAATTTTTTAGGAAAAAGAATTCCTGTGCTCCTTTCCTTAGAAGGAAGCTTCTAAGCTTCCTTTACTTATGAGTGATAGAGTCATGCCCCAAAGCTTATGGCTTGTATTTACTCCAAAGCTCCTCTTGATAAATATTCAGAACTTTGTCAGCTTTATAATGTTATAAAACTTTGCTAATATAATCTGCAGAAATGTCACATCTTATTTGGAATCCTGATAAGCACTTTGCTTCTGATGTTTTGTGGAAGTGGATTTCAGAAGCAAATTTTGCTTGGTGGAAGCAAGAAGCACTTCCTTTTTTTGGTTTTGCATTTATCATGTTTGATTCACTGGGAGTTGCATCGCTGGATTTTTGAAGTTGAATGAATCCAAAGTTACTACTTTGTCTTCATACAGCACTTGTGCTCTATGTGCTTTTATCATATGTCCTTTAAATTATCTCTTCTCTATATAAATACACTGATTTCTTCAACTTCACCATTCGGTTGGTGAAGATCTGTGCTGTGTCCTTAAAGATGCAA